CAATTGGAAAATTGAAATGAAATTTGTTGCCGATATTTTTTTTATTCTTCTTCGAATCGCACCTAAATGGATGCCGGAACGCTTTTATAGTGTGCCAGTAAGCATTAATAAAATAACTAGAGGCTTTCCTAGTTATAATACGCATTTTAATTAAATTCTCAACCCTTTATATGTCGACGCATGTATGTTACTTACGAGTAGTCTGTATCTAATAATGCCTTTTTGTCTGGAGCAGGGTGTCGACTACAAATAACAGTCAGGTTGATTATAATGCTATCATATCCGGGTAAATATGTTATCCGTTTTTCCGTATGCATTAGCCGATAATTCCTTTTGGATCACTTTTGTGTATTGGTCTTGGTTGCTGTCTTTTGGCCACCCATTTGGTGTTTATTGTTCTACCGTTCGTTCAGTTCTGCTTTGTGGTTGTGAGACCTTAAATTTGCAAGCAGATTTCCATCGACTAAAAGTTTTCGATTATCGGTGTTTACATAGTTTAGCCCACGTGGGATGTAGCGTATGGGTTAGTAATCTGAACGTTAGCCGTCGTATTGCGTATACCTGCCCCTCAACTACCTTTCCGTGCTCTCTTTGCGCGTGATGCGTGCTACTTAATCTTTGAAAAGGAAGGAGGTGTATAGAGAATTCAAGCTCACTCGCATCAAATGTCGCGTGACTGGTCGGCTTGCCGTCGATTTCGCTGTCATTGACAGACCCGATGTGTTCACTGATCTGTGTTTCAAATGTTCGCCCTGTAAATCGTTTTGACACAAGTACAGTCAGCCCCTTCCAGTTCAGTGACTTGTGTTCTTGCTAATCATGGGCATGCATTTAAAACAAGTTTTTTTTCGTGAAATACATCCTTTTGTGAATTGGACTGCAGTTGGTTGGCGCATATGCAGAATTGATGAACTAGCAAGTTTTGGTGTTGCTTCTCTTCTGAACACTAACTGAACCCTGGAACATCATTTCGTACAAACGAATGTTGACGAATATGCAGTCTGTCAGTGAGGTCTCAGCTTTACCTCTTAGTTCGGTTCACACCTCGCTGGCCCCATGAGCTGGCTTCATTGTCTATATCTCACCTGGTGGGCGAATCACAGATGAAGTGTCGGCGCGCATACACAAGGCTCGGTGGACACCTGACAACTTGGCGCCGTCGCGACATCCGGCTGTTTGTGAAAGGTCGAGTATATGCTGCTATACGGTGCAGAGACTTGGCCACTACGGAAACAGGATAAAGAGATTGTCGGTGTTGGAACACCGCTGTCTACGCCACGTTGCACGAGTATGGTGGGGCAACTAGTCGAGCAATGCTGAAGTTAGGCGTAGAGTTTTAGGTAGTCACTGTCATCCACTGGAGCAAGTAGTCGACCTCCATGGATTGCATTAGTTGGGACCTTTGTTACGCATGTCACCAGATAGGTTGCCACGGTGAGCTGTTTGCCGAGGCAGGGAGCGGTTCGAAACGGTCAAGGGTGGTCAAGTGAAGACCTGGCGTGAGGGTATGAAAACCCTAACCAGGAGACTGGGTCACATAGTTCTCGTTAGGCTCCCTGGATGGGGACCCCGAGATCATGTTCACCAATGGTCAGAGACACTGAGCGATATGGCTGGGTGTCGCAAACAGTGGCGCTCATGCATCCACTCATTATTCTCTTTATGAATTCTCTATCTTCCGCTTGAATTGAATTCCAACATTCCAATTTTCGTCCTTCCCTTTTATCCAAATGAGCAACCAAAAGATGGCAAACATAACCGGCACACGAAAGTACATGGTCAATGGTTGTAAAAGCTGAAAGCTGAGAGCTGATGTACGAATGGAGTACCTCGAGGACAGATCCGGTGCACTCAGGTGATTTATATTAATAGGACTCTGAATTCGTGTCTCCGATACACACCATACATCGATTTCCAACGCGTTCCTTGTACGTGCAAGACACGATTGATGACCCACCTGCATCGGAGTCCCCACATTCATCATCATCACCATCGTATATGTATGTATAATCTCCTGCTATGTCGCACCCGTCGGAAATTTGAAAAAGTGGGTAAATTTCAGGAACTGCGACAGCATGCTAGTCAGTAGTAGATGTTATTAAGTAGTATGAAAAGTGCGTTAGTTCCGGTACTTGTTCCCAATGTTTGTAATTATGTACCGTTTATTTATAACATAATTTAGATGTATCGTCCGGTTATTCCTTTATGTATGGACGAAATTGAAGTCTTTCATGATGCCCTTAGCTTAACAGTAGTGCGTTGCATCTGGTATTTAGCCTCTTTTAGTTTCAGGTGTCTAGTTATCCCAAAACTGCCCACCTTTCTTCAGGGGAATATCTTAAAACCCAATTAACGCATATTATTTCCAGATATTTCTCCATTCTTTTGTAATGTCAGGCTAAGCACAGAATTGAGTATATGGCGTCCACCATAATATACAGCTGTTTTAGCTATAATACTTTTACTTTTGATGGACTAACTCCTACGGGAGGATCAGTCGGCTTCTTGGATGTCTCTAATCATGGCGGCTCATGCATGACGATCGGCAGCAAGATTGACGCAGTGTGAAAGCCAGTTCTGGTTCCAGTTGCGAATTCCATATGCGGATGGAAGGCCCAGTAATTTGAACTCCCCCTCGATCGTACTACTCCAGGTCTTCAGTTGACCACCGAGTCGGCAGCGCTATCCACGACACAGTGCGGGGGCTACAGCCTGCCGCGAGAGTTGAGTGTTGGGCCTTCGGAGCACTTAGCCAAACCACTGATAGCGCTGACCTTGTAGCATTTTCGAAAGCTTGTCAATGTCCAAGCAGCGCCGTCGAACTTCATTATTGGAAATTCTGTCTCTCCAATTTACTTTCGAGATGCGGCGTCAGCACCAATAATCAAAGACTTCGAGCTTCCTTGTATCTTGTATTCTTAGCGGCCAGCTTTCATAACCATGAGTGAGGATGGGGCGAATGGAAGCCTGATAAGCTCGAAGCTTAGTGTTTAAGGTTATTTTGCATCGATTCCACCGCGGTTTGAGTTGTAGGACGACTCTTCTAGCTCCATCTACACGGAGTTGGATTTCATCCTTAGCCTGGCCGTTTGGTCTTATCGTGGAGGCAAGATATTTGGAAACTTCGGTTGATTTGAAAAACTCCCCGTTAATCGAGAGGGGTTATGTCATGGCAGAAGTTTCGGTCAAAAATGTCTTCGTTTTCGTCGTGTTGATCTCTAGCCCAATGGACTGGGCAAACTGATTTATACGATTGATNGTCCATGGTGTCTTCAAGTACAACGACATCATCTACAAACTCGAGGTCCGCAATCCATGTACCTGGGTCAAGCTGCACTCCAGGGTAGTCGATGAGTGCTTGTCGCATTATCCAATCTACGGTGAATTACACCGGCGATAGGGGACAACCTTGCCTAACTCCAGAGCTTGGGGTAAACTCAGCCGATTATTCTCCATATGTACGGACGTGTGCCCGGGTTCCTGAGTAGTATGACTTTAAAGGCCTGATGAACTTCTCAGGCATCCCGTCGGACCGCAATATGCACCACAAGGTTTCTCTATCGACAGAGTCACACGCAACGCGGAAGTCAATGAAACATGCAGTGGTAGGCTGTTGGAACTTGTAGCGGTGTTCCAGGATTCTACGGAGAGTGAAGGTTTCTTCA